GAAGGGTGTCTTTGCACGCCAGGACTTCTTCATGCGATACTTCTTACCGAAGATCTCATTTCAGAGGCCAGAACTAGGCCAAGAGGATCTCTTTGGCAAATTATATTGTCAGCCTATCGCAGATAGCTCTGTGCTGTTTACTTAATACCCCAAATTTATAACACGATCTAAAATTACTTTTTTGTACTTCAATCTATATTGTTGCCTTTATTTTTCTCCAAAGACCAGTATGTGTCCTGGGGAGATGGGGCTACGTACTATGAATGTTAAAAGCAATCAGTGACTGCCTAGACAGGACTAAGCTATTTAGAAAGTCAAACAGACTATTTGTGGCCTTTAGATAAAGCTCCAAAGGTCAGGCCATCTCAGCTCAAAGCCTGTCGAAGCAGATAAGGCTGTGCATCCAGGAATGTTATGAATTAGCCGCTGCTCCTGCGCTTGAACCTCTCAGGGACTGTTCAACTGGGGAACATCAGTTTCAATGGCATCTATCCATAATATGCCCTTATCTGAAATCTATAAGGCTGCTGCGTGGAGGCTCACTTCATACCTTCACAAATCACTATTGTCTCCATACTGCATCACGACCAGATGCAGGTCGCAGAAGGGCTTTGCACCAGGCATGGCTCAGGGCGGCCCCCCACGGGGCTCCTTCTCCAGGCTGGCCTCTGCAGACCCACGGCCGCTTTGTCTCCTGCCCTTCCCTCGGGAGGCCGGCGCCGGGTGCGGGTTTCCAGCCTCGTCGGATGAGCGCAGTGCTGTAGACGGATGAGCTGTTTATACCAGGGTGTAGTGCAGCCAGGTTTTGAAGAGTGCTTTGCTCCCCTCAGCTGCCAGCTACTACTCGGGGCATGATGCTGCAGGAAAGCGGTTCCTGTGCTGTATGGAATGGATTCCGTGTGTTGCTGTGTGGAAATACGCAACTCCTTCTGGGCTACACCAGCTTTACCGGGTGTCCTTAAGGGACGGGTTCTTGTGTTGCAACTGTGCAGGCAGCAACCTGGGGCTTGGTGTCCCGAAGCCTGAGGAGCGTGTGTGTCTGCACAGAATTTACATCTTGTGCTCCCTCCCTCAGCCCCAGCTCCTGCCGTCTGCCCTGGCCGAGGACCCGCGTATCGGGCTGCCTGCTAGCGGCGGGGATGAGATGGTTAGGGATGCCTACACTTGTTCTCGGGGTGCACTACGATGATTTGAGACCTCACCAGGATAAATGGGGCAGCTACAGCTCGGAGCTGTTGGCCCCAGCCCCTCGCTGTGTTTGAGTCCCTTTTACTACGGCCTTTGCAAGGCAAAGGAGCCCCGTAGCAGCTAGATTTCCCCCCAGGAATCACCGCCTGCCCTGTGCACAGCAGTGTCCCTGCTGGCATCCTTCCCCTCGGAAAAGACTAAGCTGCCACCATGCCCCAAATCATCCCCAAAAGGGGTAGTTTCTCCTCTCCCACTGGATGCATCACAGAGGAGGTACAACCCAAAATAAAAGTTAACGATTCCTAGTTCCTAGCTGTTTCTTAGTTCTGCCACTGTTTATGCTCAGCCCGTCTTTGAGCAGTTACCGTCGGAGCTGTGAGGACTGGGGCTTTGGTAATGAAAGTTTAGGTTCTGTTGAACAATTTTTCAGCGGGGGTGGATCCTGCAGCAGGTTCCTGGCTCCAGAACCACGGAGCATACAAAGGCTGTGCTGGCAGACTGTTAGAGCTTTGTGTCATGTTCCCCAGATGGCACTGAGGGGCTTCCCAAGCAAAACGTTCACTTTTAGGAGCGCGTTCACCAGCTTCAGTGGACGAGACTAATGGTTGTGACTCTGGGAGCCGTGCTCCTCTTCCCCCAACTACTATCAGCTGAGAGTAGAAATCTGGCACCACAGGGCTGTGTTGT